GCTGAAGTGGGAGGATCTATTGAGCCCAGAAGTTTGAGACCAACCTGGGCAACACAGCAAGACCCCATCTGTATTTAAAAATAAATAAAAATAAAACTGCATAATCTAGATGCAGGCATAGGGAAAAGTACACAAATCGTGTGTGGAGTTCAATGTATGATCATGAAGCCCACACTCCGGTAACCCTCAGGTCCAGAAGGGGACGCCCCCGCCCCCCAGAGCCATCCTGAATGTGCGCATAGTCACCTCATCGCTTTTCTTCCTCTTTCCTATTTGTGCACACCCCTAAACGTTATGGTGGAGTTAGGCTTGCTGTCGGTCTAAGTGTGAATGGAATGATCTTTTGTCTTTGCTGGATGTCCTGTTAGTGAGATTCATCCATCCTCCCGTCCCTAGGACCTGGAAATGGTGCTGGGCAGTCCCTGTGGTTACCTCGCAGCCTGCAGGTGTCTTATTCCAGAAAAGCAGGCCCACACCTGAACGCACTGGCCGCAGCTGAGTTTTGTTTATCTAAACCCAACCCACTGTGCTTAAAGCCTTATTGCAAAATATGCGCTCCTGGGGTTCTCTGGCTTTCCTGCTGCCTGGGTTCCCTTCAGGTCCGCCCAGCAGCCTTCTACTGGGAGGCTCCAGGCTCAGGGACCCGCCCTACCTTCCTGTCCCAGAACTGTCCTTTCATCCTTCCCCGGACAATTCCAGTGGAAGGGTATATGGGGGGTGGGGAGGTCCTGGACCGGTCACATTAAGGGATGAACTTTTCTCCTTCCTCCTCTCCCTCCACACACACATTTCCCAGCAGGACTCTCCAGTGGAAACCCCGAATTAAAAGGTTCCAAAGCAACTCCACCTTTTAGATCAATATAACCTCTTCAAAGCCTTGCCACTGGGAAGAAAATGCTCACGTTGGGCTTCAGCCCAAAGACATTGTTTCAGCAGCTTTGAGCGAAGTTGGTTGAGTGTGCGTGTGACACACACACAGACAGATCGCTCCGGGGGAGAAACCCCTCCGGGTCTCCACAGCCGCCCACGGTCCTCGTCGAGACTGGACTCATCTGAGCTCAGCTCAGAGATTTGGCTGCAGGATCCGACCCTCTCTTGCCAAAAAGACCCGCTCTAGGGGTGACTGCGCATTACTTCCACCCCCACCGCTCCGACCGGCCCCAGGAGAAGCCCTTCTAGGAGAGGCGCCCCCCACCTACCATCCCCGACCACTGGGAGGCCTAAGGGCTGCACTGGATTCTCGCGCCGCGAGCGCCACCGAGGGAGAGTGCGCGCCCTTCCCGGGCTCTGGTTGCACAGTCCCAAAGCCCCGCCCATGCGGGGGGTCGCGAAGTCCTAAACCTCCACCCCCTCCATGGCTGTGCACCATCCGGAGGCAGGTGTACCCGTCACGCAGACCTAAAGCTGCCCCCGGCCCCCGGGGTTCCCTGCAGGAGGCGGGGGTGTGTGTCGCTTTTCTGAAAGCTCTAAGGTCTCTGCCCCCCGCCCCCCGCTGTCTTCTGTAGGAGGCTGGGCAGGGGCTGTGGGACAGCTCTAAATCCCTGCGGGTGTTTGCTAGCCCCAGGCGGTTTCCAGGGCCCCTGGTTCCCGCTCCCCTGCAACCCGCTTCGGGAGGAGCCGGACGCTCTGGGACTCCGCTACGCGTCCGCGAACCCTCGGGCCGGGCCGCACGCGGGACATGAGTGCGCCTCCGCCGTCCTCTCCAAATCCCTAATGTCAACCGGGGTTTTCTTCTCTCATTTAAAAGTTGCGCTTTAAACCAAGTGGGACGCAGATCCGGTAGCTGCGTATTGGGTTTCAAAGTCCAGGGAGTTTTAGTCGGGGTGAAGCATTTTAGCCTCCGTGCGTCTTGCTGTAAAATGGGTAACCCCCTCGACAGCCTCCGCAGTCCTTAATAGGGGGACTCCCTGGCCCCCTCGGCCCCAGCCCTCCGCCCCCGGGTCCTACCCGCGCGGCACTCCTCGCGGTGGCCTCAGTGGATCTT